CAGGAGAACCCAGCCACAGCCAGAGAAGAGCCCGAGATCGCTTTCCCCTAACATAGCTGTTTTTTTTTTCTCTCTATGGTCCAGCACAAAACTCTCAAAAGAACCAGCCTTCGTATTTTTGAGGTACAAGACACTGAATTTGGGGGAGAGAGAGAGAGAGAGAGAGCGGGAGAGAGGAAGAAAAAATGAGAGTGAGCGTCTTGACAGATGAACAGACGCGCCAGAGAGACCGAGAGCAGGCGTTTCCAGTGCTTGTGAAAAGGAATATCGAGGGTGTTCTCTGCCATTTTATTTGCACTTTAGTCTGTTCTCTTGTCTTTGTTCATAGATGTACATCCACATGTGGGTGGGAAGGGAAATTTCCTCCTTGTCCTCACCCAGCAACTTCATACTAATTTCTATGCCGAACTACTGAACCAGACAAGAGCAAATTGCCAGTCACTGCTTCATTAGCAAAGTCTTTGAAAGTTAGCAGAAAGGACCTGTCTACAGTGCTCCACAATATCAAGCAGGCTCAGCTTTCTTTTAAGAAGTACTTTTATACAGCATGGATTCAAATTTTAAATAACTGTCTACAAATGAATGTCTCACAATTTTCTACAGCTGTTTTGGGGAATGATCTCCTGTTTCTTTTAGTGGCGCCGTGCTCTGCCATGCGCTTTGTTCATGTTTCCATTGGCTCAATGGTGCTGATGAAGACGTAGATGTACTTTGCTACGTAATTTGTTTTCTGAAGCGGAGCCATGATTGGTTGTTACCTGAGCCCTGAGCAACTGTGATGTCATTTTCAGTCGACAACACATGCCAAAATGGCTGCCCCCTGTGATGGACAAAAACGAGTGGTTTTTATTGCTGAATGTACATTCCGCAAGCGTAATATCAATCAGAACGTCGTTTTTAGACAACTAGGGCTCCATAGAACTTTTTATTACAGTAAAGAAAATTTTCGGTTTACTTTTTCAGGCTCCACACATTCAATCCCAGGTATTTTTTTTCTATTTTTTTCAAGTCTTTTATCTGAAAATGACTGGTACTGAATATAATAACAAGCATGCGACATCTTATATTTACTATGCTGCCACCCCCATGTATCCCTGTAGGTATTTGCTATCGCACATGGAGGGAAATGTATTTTGGTCGAATTAAACCAAAGTTTATCTTTGGGGATCTTTTTCTTCAGCTGGACCGGGGGAATTATGACCATTCTTCTGCGAGAAAGCAGAAAAAAACCCTTCTAGAATATCTGAACTTTATTTGTGGTTCTTGAGAGGCTCTTGAAACACGGTTATGAAATCTTAAGACAGTGACCGGTCTGATGCCATTTCCTGTGGTCCTGGCAGCTGCGTTAATCATTGTCAGGGCCCTCAAATAATTTGGACCAAAGGCATTTCGGCTTGGCAGCAGCATCTCTCGACTTTCCCGCAGAAATGGAAATTGCAAGTTAAAGAGAAATCAGAGTTAAAGTTGAGTTTGGTGATGCCTGAGAGGTTCACCATGAACTCACTCGAGCCGCTGAGCCAGTAGTTGAAAACAAACATCTTTGGCTGATGCCATCCAATCTCTCCATCACCATTATCGTCTAAGATATCACCATATGCCCCTTCATACCCGCACTCACACACCCTCCGAACCAGATTTTGTCCCTCCCCACTGCACACTCCTTCGAGGTAAAGCTCGTGTGTTGAGGATGGGAGTGAATGTAAGCCATTGTTGTGGTGTAACTGAACTCTCCAGCCACTTGTTTGATCCTGATTCGGGACGGATTTTTTTTTTTCAACCACCTCATCAGCTGAGAAGGCAAGACAATTGTCTCCATTTGTAGAGATTTCCGTTCGTGTACTCTGATATAATATATAATAATAATAACAATAATAATAGTAATAATAATAATATTCAGTTGTTTAATGCAGATTCTTTGGCAGCTGAGTCAGACTTCTATGTGTCATTTGGTATTATGGTCTTATTTTGCAGCATTTTTAGTCTTCACTGTGCACTATGTGCATGCAAATATCCACATCCCATTTTGGTGGTGTGGCTTGAAATGTCAGCCCTCTTCCCAAAGAGGAAAAGATAAAGAATAGAAGGCGGGGGGTTGTGGAAAGATGTTTTGGTGGAAGCTTTTTTGTGTGTGTGTGTGTGTGTGTGTGTGTGTGTGCGCGCGCGCGCACACACACACACACACACACACACACACACACACACACACACACACACACACACACACACACACCCATCTGTGCCATCGACTCATTTCGGAGGTGAGAAACCGTACCGTCGGTTTCATAAGAATAATTGACACTTCAAGTTAGCCTTCCAATCAAAGGGGATTATTTCTCCTCCAGCATATGTGCAGCGAGTGAGCACTGCCATACTGGAGAATATGAAAGGGAGGGCAAAGAGGAGGTAAGGAGGGGACACATCATAAAAGCTTAACCCTTTCATTCCTCCATCTCAGAGCAGAGGAATTGATGTCCCTTTTTAGTGCGCATACCGTATACCTCCACATACACTCGCAGTGGCTTTTGGAAGAAAGTCAAAGCTACAGCCTAGTAGAGGAAATTGGGTTCCTCTAACTTTCTACTCTTGGGATGATGTAATGTGCACATTAACGTTTGAATGTACACTTCCTTTAGTGGCAGTGAATGCAGGCTATGAGGTGCCTGTGTGTGTGTGTGTGTGTGTGTGTGTGTGTGTGTGTGTGTGTGTGTGTGTGTGTGTGTGTGTGTGTGTGTGTGTGTGTGTGTGTGCGCGCGCGCAAGCTCCCCCAGTGACGGTTTGCCCACATTAAACCATTAAAGCAAGTGCGATGTTGAATTATTGATAATGGCTAATGAAAAGGATCAGTTCAGGATGAACTATGGGCTTAGCCAAAGCCCCGAGGCTAACACACCACCACCCCCTCCCCAAAGCCGCACAGACGCACACATACACACTTTTGACTTTCTCAAACGTCTACCTTGGCTTGTTTTGGAAAGAAATTGTCCTGCCACTTCTTTTCTCACTCTGTCCCACTCGCCATTGTATCGTTCTCCCAGCCGTAGAGAACACCAACATTCTGAAAACATGTTGGTCTCGTACTCACTTCTAAAGTGAGCAAGTCAACCAGCTGAGCAGAGAACAGTTGTGATGCTAAGCCACATTTCAGGGAGAATAGGGATTCAGTATTGGGGGGAAGGGGTAGAGAATGCTGGGGAAAGGGGGATTGGGGGGGGGGGGCAGGAGAATCGGCGCCAGCCCCTCTGAGGCGCTCAGCAGCATCCCCCCGCTCTTCGGATGGTGGATGTGTCTGGATGTCTCCATGACAACACGACTGTATGCCAGGGACATACCACAGTAACGTGTTCAAGTAGAGTTGGCGCTGGGGGGGTGTTTGCCCTTTTTTTTTTATATCTATGTGTGCGTGCAGATGCATTCAGGCCCACAAACTCAATCACATTAATATTCACTCAGCCTGGCTGGAAAGCTGCTGCAGCCTAAATCAGTTTGCTGAAAGGGCCCATCATACATCATTTGACTCGGCGGCTTAACATTTACTCACATTATGCGACTAATATGAGTAGTTAGAATCAGAGTCAATTTCACCACAAGGTGCCTTTGAGACTTGCCCGTTTCACTGCCAAAAGTTGAGATTTTTTTTCCATTAAACTTCACCATCATTGGAGTGGACGTTATGTTGTCAGAAATGAATATTGGTTGAAACACGTGAGATTGCTGTCCGGGTACACAATGACAGGCTGGGCATTTTTGACTACTGTTAGCATTAAAGGAGCATGTGGTGGATTTTACTTGGCAACATGATTCGTTTAGCAAGCTGGCTCTTTATAAGTAATACATTTCAATTTCTGATTTTTTTTTTACATCAATTAAAGCATAATTGTGGATAGTATGATAAAAAAATGACAAATGAAAATCTTGCCATGGTGTGAAAGTATTGAATTTATTTGATGTTGACTGTAAGAAATGCATGTTCTTTACATAAGAGAGATTAGTTTAGAGTTTGCATTCAGATCAATTGTATTTGTTCTTTCAATATGCACTTTGCGGTCCAAAAATAACTTGTGCCAGAGTATCAATGTATCTAAGAATATAACAGAAGGTGGCCACGGCCACCTCTGCCTCCTCCCCTGGTCGCAGTGTGTGGGGAAATGTCAGCGTAAAATTAAGTCAACACTTTTTAAGTGATATTGCACTGGTTTATGTACAAATGTTGGTCATTTATAAATAATATCAGATCAGAGTTTCTGAGTGACTGAGTCATTTTGATGAAGACACCAAAGCTACTTTATAGTGACGCTCACCCATCAGCAAAATGCCCCCCAGACCATTCGGCACTCCAGTATTTTGCACCATATAGTAAAAGAGAACCAGAACATTTTCCTCTCACACTCATCGAGGTCGTGCGACACAGGTCAAGAATCACTCTGACAAACACATCCGCACTGTCACAACCATTCACACGTTGTCTCCTAATAGTCCCATATGGGACAGCCCAGATTCTCCACACTACAGTTCTCTGATTAGCTCTTACTGCGGGCACTGTAAACGTGAGACGGAAAGATAGAGAAGGGCTTTTAGTGTCAGAGGTCAGATACTGTTTTGGGTTTTTTCTATCCTTAAATGCACCCTTCCCATCCTCAGTCTCTCTCTCGCCCTCTCTCACACAACACACACTCAGATGCAGATCCTACGGGAGTATATTTTTAACCCTTGACAGCCCTGTGCATTTTCTGAGAGGTTAAAGGGCCGGATGGTGAATCAAGTAAATAATTTACAACATCTGAAACTCTTTCGGTGTAGCGTCCGCATGAATGGGGGAGGGAGACCAAAGAGACTTGCTTACCTTCTAACACACTTTCAGTTTAATATGATCCAAATCTGAGTTTTTTTTTTTTTTTGGTTTTGTGAGTGATGAACCAGTCTACAGACGCTTGTGTAATTTACGTCTATATGTGAGGGTTTTTTTTTTTCAGCAAATCTGATGTCTGTTCTGTGTTTTGTAGGTCTGACGAAGACCACCCGGAGAGGAACCCGGAAACAAATGCCATTGCGACGCCGGTCCTCGGGCTAACACGTAGAGGATATTCAGCAGATCGCAAAGGTGACTTTCCCCTTTCACACATTCCTGTTTCTGCCCTCTTTTTTATGTGAGCTATATTTCAAAAATTCCACCGCTACGGATCAGCAGCCTCTGCATCCCTTTTACCGGAGAATTCACCCTTAGACATTTTGAGTGACATTGCATGTGTCAAACTGCTGATCGAAGGAGACGCGTGGAGAAATGCTGCGCTAATGAAATCATCTGACCCACATCCTTTAGTGCTATCCATTTCTCCAAAGACACAGAAAGGGCATTTATACAGGTAAACCGTGACTGGTCCCCGAAGTGAGAGAAGGAAAAGGAGCATCCATTATTTACTATGGGGGTTGGGGTGGGGGAGTGGGAGGGAGGGGGGGTACGCTCCGAGACACTTAGCACATAATGCACTGCTTCAAGCATACAGCAGCACATTGAGCCTCCTCTGTGCTGAGAAGACCATTGTTTTTTTTATTCTTATTTTTTTTTTTGGAACATGTATGTTTCCATCCATACTGACAGATGAAAAAGAATATGTCTCCCTGAGGTTGAGAGGAACTGACAAAGGTAAAAAGTGAATGGCGTGGCGAAGAGATGTGTTCTCTTCCCGCGTGCCAGTTATATTTCTGAGTTGGTTGGCAATTCTTTTCTCTTGTTCACGGGTATGCACTTTTTTTCTGGTGTTAAGAAATAAAAAACAAAACAACAACAATATGAGACCATACTCTTCATAAGTGCTTCCGCCCTGACAAATGCTTGAAATCTAACTGAAGAAAAACAAGCCCTCTGATGATGCTTCGTAGTTGTTTTTGCACTACGACAGCTTTTTGAATCATCTTTGGTCAAGGTGGAGGCATTTGGAAACAGTTCAAAATTCTAGTCACCTCGAAGCTTAACAATGACCCCCGAGCATAAGTCCGAAGCAAAGAAAGACTATCGTAACAGGAAGAAAATCAAGTTTTGGACTGACCAATTGGTACGCATACTAATCGGTTGTTCCTTTGTTTACTTGGTATGCATGATGGTCGCCCCAACCACACCAGGAAACAGCAGCAACACCCTATTGGGGGCACAACTAGCAAAGCATAAATAGGAAGACTCAAAACAACTCAAGAATGAGTTAACTCATTCAGCCAAGGACGTTTTTTTTTTTTTTTTCGGTTTGAAAGAATTTGGTCCATTAATCCCAGTTACGTCACCGTGTAATTTTTCACATGGTAGGGTAACAAAGGGTCCGAAAATGGCTGGCACTGAATGAATGAGCCAACTTAGTCCGGTATCCTCGATTTAACCTCTGCTGATGACCGCAAATGAGAATCTCCGCATTGCTCAGTAAAGTTTCGGACACACATTGGACAGACATCATGTTTATACGTAGATGTATCCAAGGGGTTGATGCGACGTGTCAGCAGAGAGAGTGATGCCGAGACAGGCTGATGCTGGTTGAACTCATATCAGCTGCGAGCAGACAGGCAGTCAGACAGGCAGCATGCGGCCTCGAGGTGCACGGAGCAGGCAGGGTCTCACACTCAACTCGTCTGGATTCACTGGCCTTCATCTTTTGGAGACGGGCTGAGTTTGCCCGTCGATAGCTGAGGGACCGCCTGCCAACCCTGAACTCTTCTGTACTGTCAGCTAAGTATCAGAGGCATTTGCGGAAGAAGAAAGCCTGGCCGCAACACTTTCGCACAGACTGAATTCCTGGGAAGAAACAAAAAATGAGGGTGGTTGCCGACTTCTATGTGTGAGGGAGCGACTTTCAATATTTCAAGTTCATGACGAGATAAATCAGGTAGTGCGTTTGAAGGCAACCTGCTTGGAAATGTTGAAAAGCGGGTATTCTAAATTGATGTTGTTCTGCATCTGCTGTTTGCAGACAAGGACATTGGAGATATGACCGAGAAAGGCAGTCACATTTACTGATTTTTCTTCCGTGTCCTGAGCTCTTGTAAAAAGCTATTCATTAAGATTCATATTTGGCCCAAGCTCTATAGTTTCAGACTAAAGAAGAAGTGCAATGTCGGTTGTGGGGGAAGTGAGTGTGCAGTGGGATGCATTGAGGAAAGAGCTGGAACTGCAGGGAGTCCAGTTGGAGGTTCACGGCCAGGCGGGGAAGTCAATTCGATAAGGGGTCTCAACCAAAATATTCAAGTGCAGCACTTGTAGGGTTTACGCTTATTGTCACTCTCACGACAAGGTACGGTGGGTATAAAAAGTCTACACATCACGAACAAATGGCAGGTTTTTGTGTATAAAAAAAAAAAAATGGGACCAAGAGAAATGATTTCAAATATCAGGGAAAACCTACTAAAACAGCTGAACTTTATTTGGGGACCGTCAGGGGCACCCAAAGTGGTGGCAGGTGTGTGCTGAATCACATTTGACAGGAGTTTTAATGTTATCGGTTAATTCTGAACACGGCCACATCCCTGCTTCTGAGAGGGGGTGCAGACTTGTGCAACCACACTATCGCAGTTGTTTATTTTCTCCAATTTAATATGATTTCATTTTGTTTTCTCACATTCAGTTCACATTATAGCTTACATTAATGGTAAAAAAAAAATTGTTGAGGGATTTATTTTCGTCTCTTGGTCTTTTTTTATTTTACAGAACCCTGGATTTGGACGGGGTTGTGGAGACATTTTATATCCAATATATTTCACGTAAAAATGTTTTACACAAAGTGTATTACTGTACATCAAAACACAACACAAAAGACTTGTGAGTAGACATATTTGTAGCACCAGAAACTGTTTTCCTCACCATTGCTGTTTGTTGGACGTATACATTTTCCAGAAAGAATAATTAAAAATACTTCATAATAAATAAATAAAAATAATAACTTGTGCATCCATGGCATGGACGTATTATGACAAACCAAAATTTCCTTATGTTACTCTCAGACTGCAAGGCATAATTTAGTCTACTCAAAATATTACGTTCCATAATCAGACCGGTAATCATCTTTTGCGTCCTTGTGTGTGTGATTGTGTGTGTGTGTGTGTGTGTGTGTGTATACATATTTTCACAGTGGCGCATAGATGATCTAAAGCAGCTGAGAAACAATATTCATCTAATAATTTGACTTAAAATAATGCATACAAAAATTGAAATTGGATATAGCCACCAGAAATATTGATTAGCGTACTAAATGTATCAATGCCTACAGATCACCACAGATGCATTTTGCTACTCAAACAGTCTCGCCAACCAAAGAGATTAGAAAAAAACGTTGACGTCACCGAAGGCAGATTTCCAAATCTGATGAAAAAAAAAAAAACGGCCTCATTGCTAAAATAGTTTAGGTTTTAAGTTCCGTTCCCATTAGACCGGCATGGCGGCACATTGGGACCTGAAATGTGATGAGACAAACCAATTCTAATGGACACACCAACTGGAAGAAGTGAGTGCAGTCAAGCGAAATGCTACCAAGTGAAGAGAATAGACTTTTGTGAATAAATAATTCGGTGGGGTGGCAAATATCAAAATGTCGGTACGGTGCTTTCAGGGGAACATGGATAATCTCATAATGTTAATTTAAAGTGCTACAAGTGGCCTGACAGGCATACGACAGTGTGTTGAATCAGTTGCAGGCCCGTGTGAATGGGGATCATTTTGACAACGTTGCCTTCCAAGCACAATGAACTTTTTTTTTTCTCCCCCAACTAGATTGTTGTCATGTAAACATAAACCCTTAGTCTGAAGTTTTCCTCTCAGAGAGAAGAATAAGCAGGTGTAAACCTGAGACACTCCTGAGCCATGTGTCCTCAGCCCCCCCACCCACCACCCCTTCAAAAAAGAAAACAAAAAAATGTCACTGGCGGTCTGATCAGGTTCTAAAGTATATCATGTAAGACAATACACGTGAGAAGTGCAGCAGGAAGAAAGTGAGAAACGTGCAATGCGGTATGAGGTGGTGGGGGCTAATGTCCGCCGCTATTGTTGCCTTCAGGTTCACTGAGACCTCACAGCTCATGAAGTCCTTTCATTGACGGCTCTTAATGTGGGCTTGGCGGTAAATCTTCTAGTAGTGCTTCCCCTCCAGACAAAACATACACACACAGGTCACGCGCATGTTGCGTTCACATTCGGAGTTGACACTTCAGACCGCTGGTGAAGAATGAGTCTCTCGGCGGCATTGAAAAGGGCGGAGCATGTCCCAGAACTTTCTATGCGATTTTTTTTTTTTTTTTGATGCACTGGGGAACTTGATCTATATGTATCAATAATTTACTTTTAGTTTTTCCCCAAAGTTAATGGTGATCAAACTGCATTTTTGTGAAGAGTACTTTTGAATTACCGAGATACCGAGAGACTGGAAGAGTCACAGAAAGATGTAGAAGTGGGCGTCCTTTGGTCACATTGCATGCTGATGACCGCAAACATGGTGAACAACGCCCTGACAAAACGGATGATGAATGCCACTTAACTCCAGGCACATTTAAGAGAAGTGAGATTGACCCAAGTGTCGCGTCGCACCATTCGAAACAATTTAGGTACCTGACCACACCACCAGTTATCGTCTTGCGTGGGCCAGGGAGCATTTACGCTGAAAGAGGGAGCGGTGGGTCCCAGTGCTGTTCTCCGATGAAAGTCAGTTCATGTTGAGCACTAATTTTGGTGAGGTGTTTAGTTTTTATTTTGGCAGCCTGCAATGTATGGAAGGAAACGGATTCTCCGCATAGTGTCACAGTCCAACTGTAGTTTCTGAAGAGTGGTTGTTGTCTGTGCTTGTGTTGGTTTACGTTGTAATACGAATGATCAACCCGGAATTTCTTCTAATCTTTTACGTTTTGTTTGTTTCAGGTGTGTCCCTCCTGCTCAACAACTTGGAGTGAAGACGTCATGTGTGCTTTGTGATGTTGGTGTCCTATAATAACTCCGCAAGAGTTTGCACCTGTGCCTGTGCTGATAAGAATCAATGTATTTCTGTTCATGTTTTCATCAAGCAATTTGCTCAACTCGACCGTTTTTTTCTGTTGACAGCTCAATAAAACCGCTTTTTAAGACCAGACATCATAACTACAACAACGACACAATATATTGTACCTGTATATTGTACCTGTGCCTGTGCTGATGGCTATCAATGTATTTCTGTTCACATTTTCATGAAGCAATTTGGTAAACTTGACTGTTTGTCTGTTGACAGCGAAATAAAACCACTTTTTTTTTAAGACCAGAGACGTTTCCTTGATTCTTAAAGAACAACGGGCTTGGCATCATTGTGTCCTGGTTGCTGACGACAGATAAAAGGCGGCAGGTTGATCAAAGCATCCACATCAAACTGAAGCCCGACACTCTGGAGTTTATCTGGAGGAAAAAGAACTCATAAAACATTTCCCAGCCTGCTTGTGCACAATAAATCCTCCGCCTTGTAAATCAAATGTACCTGCGTGTGCAATATGAGCAACACCATCTGAATATTTTCTTCTTGTGTCACCAATCACATGCATATATTTTTCATTGCGTTTCTTGTATTTGCTTCGTGTTTTTTGGAGAGAGGAGGGGAAAAAAAAAACATGACGCGATCCAATCTAAGAAGATCAAAAGTAGGTTTGAGAAATTGTTTCATATGAGAAAGGCGCATAATTTTTCCTGCTCTTCTTTCCATTCATCTTCATGTGCCTCTTCATTTCCCCTCTCCTTTCCCGTACCGTATTATTCTCCCTGTCGCTTTCTACTTAACATTCATTTTCACTATCATTCGCCCTCCTTCTTTGCCCCATCTTCATTTCCTTTCGCGACATCACTCCTCCCTTCTTTTCAAACCGCGTCCCCTCTCCGCCTCACCCCTTCTTTCTCTCCCTCACTTGTCTTGCTCTCCCTCTCAGATGTCACATCAGACGCTCTTGTCTTCCGCTTGCCCTGTCATCACATTTTTCACACAGCCTCATCCCTTAATTGGGCCTGGATCATCATATCATGTAGAATACCTAATGGCAAGCAAGGGATGAAGGATGGCCTCCACCTAGAGCCCCCCCCCCCCCGCTCCCGCCCGCATACACTCAGACACTCACATGCAGGCATGATCACACAAACAAGCTCGTCGGTGGCCGAATGGCGCCGCCTGTGCTCATTTTTACACCTTCTGTTTACACCACAGATGTCAGTGGCGTGACAGGTGAGATGGAGTGTGTGTGTGTGTGTTCCCTTTTCCCGCAGTGTCCAATGATGTTTGGCGGCTTGTGTGATGAGACAAAGGATGCCCCCGAGCCAGCAGTCACATCTACAGCTAACAGGCACAAACACACACACACACACACACACACACACACACACACACACACACACACACACACACACACACACACACACACACACAACACACACACATACAAAAGAAGAAGAATCCGGCAAAGGGGTCCGGAGGGTTTCCAAGTAGCTCAAATAAAGTCACCCCCCCCAAAAAAGCCACAAAAATAAATTTTTGTATCCGATTCCTGTTGATCATTTTAAAATAGTGCCAAGCATTTCCTATCATTTGCTTTCAGGCATTTTACAAAGCGTGCAGATATGCTGCACACTTAACCTCCATTTGCAATTTCGATTAGAACTGGATGAGGGAACCAAACAATCCAAATGATATATGATATAATCATTGTATATATCATATCACATGGTGATACAAAACATTTCTGCCTACATTTTATATATAGGTCATTTTATAACCTGATAACGATATGTATATCGGGAAATAGTCTTTTTCCTTGAAATTAATGGCAACTTTTACAATTAAATGGATGTGAGATAAATGAAATAGATGAGATGCAAATACACATGAGTTGAGTACATTGCGGCGTAGGACCTTATTTTCAAGCGGGTGAAATTTGCTACTTCATTCATATTCCACAAACACAATGTTCATCCAAATACTTTGCTGCAACTAGTGGGGCTATGCATCAAACAACAATTTTTACTTACCTTTAATGCTCTCATGGTGTGAGATGTCACCCAGTCCGCAAACAATTCGTTTAACACGAATTGTCACTCATTTAGCGCGTCATTCCCGCACTCCACTCCCCAATGACAAATTGTGTTACACTCAATTCAAACTTTACACGGACCCGACAGTTGGATTAAGGCTGGGCTGATGGCGCACGCCTGAAAAATTATGCGCAAGGGTGATGTCATAGTAAAACGACCATCTCAGGCTTTGAGCGAACAACCATATCCCACTCCCCGAAATATCGCTAGAGATTGAGTGTTTATATGATACGGGACCTGGAACCATGTTGTAAAAGATCAGAACTAAAATGCACTTCTTGCATGTGACATCATCACTCATTTATGACATCCATAAGCGAAACATCAGCCGAGCAAATAAGTGATATGAATCAAACTAACTCAAGTGTGAGTCCCATCCCGAGGATTTGGCCTCTTAATCAGTCATGTCCGAGTTATGTGGGTCCCTTGTCCACCGTGAACTATGTACGGTATTCCGCATCCCCATACACTTGATGTGAGAAGTTGTGAAATGAATGCCATCGTGAAAGGCCGTTCCAAGTTCTGCTTGTTGAATCTGGATAACGAAAAGATTTGTGTTGGAAGTGTGGATATTATCGTGCTTGCAAGTGTGAATGTGCATGTGTTTGCCTTGGTGCGCAGCGGCGAGTGATTGATTTCCAAGCGCTGAATGTTGACTGAGAGTTTCGCCATCCCAGGAGGGACGACACCTCGCTGCCTTCCCCATCTCACTGTCCACACTCCCACCTCTGCCCTCTCTCATTGCCAGCCTCCATCCACTTTCAATATCAGGCGTTCCCCTCCCTGCTATCTGCCCCCCCCCCCCCGCTGCCTTTTTTTTCCCCAATGACAAATTGTGTTACACTCAATTCAAACTTTACACGGACCCGACAGTTGGATTAAGGCTGGGCTGATGGCGCACGCCTGAAAAATTATGCGCAAGGGTGATGTCATAGTAAAACGACCATCTCAGGCTTTGAGCGAACAACCATATCCCACTCCCCGAAATATCGCTAGAGATTGAGTGTTTATATGATACGGGACCTGGAACCATGTTGTAAAAGATCAGAACTAAAATGCACTTCTTGCATGTGACATCATCACTCATTTATGACATCCATAAGCGAAACATCAGCCGAGCAAATAAGTGATATGAATCAAACTAACTCAAGTGTGAGTCCCATCCCGAGGATTTGGCCTCTTAATCAGTCATGTCCGAGTTATGTGGGTCCCTTGTCCACCGTGAACTATGTACGGTATTCCGCATCCCCATACACTTGATGTGAGAAGTTGTGAAATGAATGCCATCGTGAAAGGCCGTTCCAAGTTCTGCTTGTTGAATCTGGATAACGAAAAGATTTGTGTTGGAAGTGTGGATATTATCGTGCTTGCAAGTGTGAATGTGCATGTGTTTGCCTTGGTGCGCAGCGGCGAGTGATTGATTTCCAAGCGCTGAATGTTGACTGAGAGTTTCGCCATCCCAGGAGGGACGACACCTCGCTGCCTTCCCCATCTCACTGTCCACACTCCCACCTCTGCCCTCTCTCATTGCCAGCCTCCATCCACTTTCAATATCAGGCGTTCCCCTCCCTGCTATCTGCCCCCCCCCCCCGATGGCTTTATTGATAGGGAACATTGATATCTATTGCTAGCTGAAATGAGCAGCTGTCTTGCCGCTAGTGGCTGGACATTCCTTATACGAGTCAATAAAAGACAGTCATGCTTGGTAATTTACCGAGGGGGGAACTCACAGCTGCTGTGGCCTATATCACTGAGATCGTGATATATATCGTGTCAAACATGTCTATATACGGAGTGGAGGAAGCGGGAGTGATGTGGAATGGACGGGTGTTGTGGAACATCATAGCATTTCAATTTTGATTAAATAGAATCACTTTGGTTCCCCGCTCTCCAATCTGTACAGTCAGCAATCACTTGCCTATGCTATATGTGTATTTGCACATATATGCAATGGCACAGGAGTTGGCGTGGAGATAAAGAGGGCATGCACAGCTACAAATGGATCAATTTGTGCTCCATCTACGGTTGGATGATATTTCTGAAGGCACTTTGGAAAGTAGCCAAAGGGGATCGCAGTCTCCTATAGGGCACTCACAGAAATTTTTGCAATGTATACAGTGCGGACAGAGATGGGCAACTTTAATGCTGGGGGGAATAGGGCAAGGAAGGGGGAGGGGGCATAATTTTTCATCAGTGCGACTCGAGGGCCACAGAAGACCATGGATGGACTTCTAACCAGATGTATGACAGAAATACAATTTTCAATATGGACAAAATTTGTGCATACGTGCAAAATGCATGCTATTAATATATTTCATTTTTTGCACTATATTTTTCGATACATGTAAAATTGATCCACTATCCAAATTCAACAACAAAGGGTTTGAAGCAAAAAACAAAGTTTCAAGTGCAGAGGGCTCGCGTTGCTGAAAGCAAATTAACTTTGGTGCAAGACCAAATTTTGTATATTTTTCCACAAAAACCAACTCACTAAAATGTTTATATTCTTGAGATGCGATGTTTGCCCTGCATATCATTTCAAATCTGCAAACAAATGATGAGGCCTACTCATGTTGTAGTGTAGGGCAGTATAAGACCCATGTCAGCGCAACTAAGTCATTTCTGCCATCTAGTGGCGAATAGTGATATTATAACTTAAAACTACAGTCGACGTACATTCGCAGTTGGGTAACTACAAATTTGCGTCAAGAGTTTTTTTTTTGTTTTTTTCCATATATATACCGTATATATACCGTGTGTGTGTGTGTGTGTGTGTGTGTGTGTGTGTGTGTGTGTGTGTGTGTGTGTGTGTGGTTTTTTTTTAATGCTGTTTGTATTTTTTCCCTATGTACCTCCCTCTTTTCATGTCAATTGTACACTGAATGTTGATCAGCATTTTTTGAAGAATCGTGAAGAGTTGGCACTGGTATTTTTTGGCGATGGTCCACATCATTCGCATTCAGCCATGCCGTGTCACTCTCTGCGGTGACCCCATATGGGATACGCCGAAAGTTTTCTGTTTGGTGATTGGCCTTGGTTCATTAAAGGTTGGGGAACAGTGGTATACATTTCAGCACAACGGCCACAAAACCTGATTTTTATTACGAACGTCGACTCGACTTGCCGTGTTTTTAATATTGAAATTAGACCGGTGGGCGGATGACAATTTCCGACAATGAAAGAAAGTCTGATCTC